TCCTTCCTTCCTTCCTTCCTTCCTTCCTTCCTTCCTTCCTTCCTTCCTTCCTTCTTTGAGGTGGGGTCTCACTCAGTCTCACTGCAGCCTCAACTTCCTGGGCTCAAGCCATCCTTCTGCCTCAGCCTCCTAAGTACCTGGGACCACAGATCTGTGCCACCCTGCCCTGCAAAAATTTGAATTTATTTTTTTTTTTTTTGTAGAGACAGGGTCTTTTTATGTTGCCCAGGCTGGTCTCAAATTCCTGGGCTCAAGTAATCCTCCCTCCTCAGCCCCCCAAAGTGCTGGAATTGCAGGCATGAGCCACCACCCCCAGGCTTTTTGTTTTTTTAATACGTCATATTGTCTTTTTTATTCTTCTGTTCCTCCTTCACCGGTTTTTCATTAAGTTAATCTTTTCTAGTTTAACATTTGAATTTCTTTAATTATTGGTTACTATTTTTTAAAGATATTTTATTGGCGGGCCCAGTGGCTCACACCTGTCATCCCAGCACTTTGGGAGGCCGAGGGGGGTGGATCACTTGAGGTCAGGAGTTCAAAACCAGCCTGGCCAACATGGGGAAATCCCTTCTCTATGAATAATACAAAACTTAGCTGGACACAGCAGCATACAACTGTAATCCCAGCTGCTCAGGAGACTGCATCAGAAGAATCGCTTGAATTGCTTTTTTTTTTTTTTTGAGATGGAGTCTCCCTCCATCACCCAGGCTGGAGTGCAGTGGTGTGATCTCAGTTCACCACAACCTCTACCTCTTGGGTTCAAGCAATTCTTGTTCCTCAGTCTCCTGAGCAGCTGGGACTATAGGTGTGCACCACCATGACTGGCTAATTTTGTCTTTTTAGTAGAAATGGGGTTTCACCATGTTGGCCAGGCTGGTCGTGAGCTCCTGACCTCAAGTGATCCTCCCACCTCAGCCTCCCAAAGTGCTGAGATTACAGGCCAGCTTCGTTCTTTTGAGATTTTTCTAAATCTTGATTTTCTGCAGGTTTTTTTCAACTTTTTAGATTCAGGTATATTGCGTGATGCTGAGATTTGAGGTATGAATGATCCCATCACCCAGGTACTGAGCACAGTACCCCATAGCTATTCAACCCTTGCCCCCTCCCTCCCCACTCCAGTAGCTCCAGTGTCTACTGTTGCCATCTTTACATTCATGTGTACCCAGTGCTTAACTCCCACTTGTAAGTAAGAACATCCAGTATATGATTTTCTGTTCCTGTGTTAATTTGCTTGGGTTTGCTGCAAAGGACATGATTTCATTCTTTTTAATGGCTACATAGTATTCCATGTTGTATATGTACCACATTTTCTTTATCCAGTCCACCATTGAAGGGCACTTAGGCTGACTCCATGTCTTTGCTACAGTGACTAGTACTGTCATGAACATGCAAATGTATGTGTCTTTATGGTAGAACAATTTATTTTCCTTTTGGGTATATAGCCAGTAAAGGGACTGCTAGGTGAAACAGTACTGTTTTAGGTAGTTTGAGAAATCTCCAAACTGCTTTCCACAGTGACTGAAGTAACTTACATTCCCACCAGCAGTGTATAAGCATTCCCTTTTCTTTGCAGCCTCACCAGCACCTGCTGTTTTTTGACTTTTTAATAATAGCCATTCTGATTGGTGTGAGATGCATTACTCTGATGATTAGTGATGTGGAGCATTTTTTCATGTTTGTTGATTGCATGTATGTATTCCTTTGAGAATTCTGTTCATGTCTTTTTGCCTGTTTTTTGATGGGGTCATTTGTTTTTTTGCTTGTTTAATTAAGTTCCTTACAGATTCTGGATATTAAGACCTTTGTTGGATGTGTAGTTTGCCATTTTTCTTCCATTCTGTAGGTTGCCTGCATACTCTGTTGATAGTTTCTTTTGATTTTCTACAGTTTAATAGGAATGTCTACGTATAGTTCTTGGTATTTATTTTGTTTAATCTTCTCAGAGCTTCCTAGAGCTGTGGTTTGGCATTTGGCATTAATTTGGGAATATTCACTCTCAGTCATTATTGTTTCAAATATTTTCTCTGTTCCTCTCTTTCCTGTCCTTCTGGTATTCCCATATATTTTTAATGTTTATTTCATTTAATGAATTTTTTTTTTTTTTTTTTTTTGAGACAGAGTTTCGCTCTTGTTACCCAGGCTGGAGTGCAATGGCGCGACCTCGGCTCACCGCAACCTCCGCCTCCTGGGTTCAGGCAATTCTCCTGCCTCAGCCTCCCGAGTAGCTGGGATTACAGGCACGCATCACCATGCCCAGCTAATTTTTTGTATTTTTAGTAGAGACGGGGTTTCACCATGTTGCCCAGGATGGTCTCGATCTCTTGACCTTGTGATCCACCCACCTCGGCCTCCCAAAGTGCTGGGATTACAGGCGTGAGCCACCGCGCCCGGCCTTAATGAATTTTTAAAACAAAATATAACAGGAGCCAGGCATGGTGGTGTGTGCCTGTAAGTTTCAGCTACCTGGGAGGCTGAGGTTAAGGGTAACTTGAGTCCAGGAGTTTGAGGTTGTAGTGTGCTGTGATTACAACTGAGAATAGCCACTGCACTCCAGCCTGGGAAATAGCAAGACCCACCCCTAAAATGTGTGTGTGTGATTTGTATGATTTTCCTTATGTATTACAGGTTTATAGCTATACATGTATGTATAGATACACAAACATATGTAATACATATATGAATGAAGGAATCACCTTGTGAGAGAGGTAGTAACACTATTTTTTGGAGAAGAGGTAGCTGAGGCTCTGAGAGGTCACGACATATGCCTGAGGTCACACAGGGCGTCTGGAATTCCATTTCAAGCCTATCTGAGGAGGGCGCTCTCGCTGCTCGTTTACCTGGTCTTGTGTCCCTAAGTGTGTACTGTGAACTAAGACCCAGGGTCTGTAGCCGGCAGTCCTGGCCCAAGGCAGGCGTAATCTCCAGCCGCCCAACCCCTGGCTGGGGGCTCTGCGCAAGAAGCGCGGCCGGCAGGGGGAAGAGGTGTTCGGTAGGCAGCAGCCGGGATGCAGGGAAAGCCAGGGATCCGTCACTCGCCTGTGCGCGCCCCGTCCGGTTGCGTCCTGGGTGCGTGCCGCCTACCCGCGGAGCGAGTGCCCGGGAGGCGCGGCCAGGTGCGCCAGGGGCAGCTCCACAGCGAGCGCGGGGGGTGGGGCCCGCCGAGCCTGCCCCCTGCCTCCCCGGGCGGCGCCCCCAGCTGCAGTGTTTCGGGCGCTGGGCTATAAAATACCGAGTTAAGCGGCGACTTGGATCTAGCAACCTGTTCACACCATGGCCTCGGGCGGGCGGCTCCCGCCGCAGCCGTCGAGCTCGGAGGTCAGCGCGGTCCAGAGCTCAGGCAGGCGTCCCGGGGCGGGTCTGGAGGAAGCAGCCCTGGGCTTTCCTCTCCCGCCGTCTCCCGGTCAGGCCCGTCTGCCCCCGAACACCCAGAGCAGGTGCCCTGGGACCCGCCAGCCCGGAGCCTCCTCTCTTTCAGCGCCGTCCGCGACAGTGCTCCTGGGGCCCCGGCTCGGAACGGAGCCGGCTGGGCGAACCGCAGACCCGGTCCCCGCCGACGCCCCAGCGCGGGCTCCGCAGCCCGATCCACAGTCCCTCAAACCGCGCAACCTGGAAGGCATCCTGGACGAGTGCCAGCTGCTCCGCTACTTGCAGCTGGCCCAGGACCGCGAGGCGCGCCTGTGGCAGGGCGGCAAACCCCAGGTACCCCTCCCTGCCTCTGGGCCCGTCTCGCGCGCACGGGAGGCGGATAGGCTCCACCTGCACCCACGCTCCGGTGCTCTGCACCTGGAAGCCGAGCCCTTCCCCAGGTGTGGCCTCTCACGAGAGGCACGAGGCTGGATCCACCGGCTTCTCTCTGGGAGGGCGTCTTGCTAGCAGGGACTTCGGAAGAGGTCCTGTTTGAATCGAGGAACTCGGCCTAGGGCAAAAAGCGGGCGCGCGATGTGGGGGTGATGGGTGAGTCGCTGCGCCAAGGGGGCCCTTACTCCCAGCGGGCCTGCAGGGGAAGGGACTTCTCACTACTCCTTCCCGCCCTCCACCGCAAGCAGGAGGCTCCTGCTGCAGGGGGACCAGGAGTGGCTGCCAGCGACCTTCCTCGCCCCCTACGCTTCTTCCTAGCAGAATGAAATCTGCAACGCCTTTGAGGAAGTCGTGCTGTGGCTTCTGCGGCTTCAGAACAACTTGTACTTCTCCTGTTCCACGTTTAACCTGGCCCTCACCATCTTCAGCCGCCTCCTGATTTCGGTGAAGGTAGGGAGGCCTCTGAGGGACGGTGGCAGATGGTGAGAGAAGGAACTAACCTTTGCCCCCCCATTCCTGCTTGAGAGGTGAGGGGTTCCAGATGCTCAAACCAAGGTGTATAAACAAACTTGCTCCGAGGGATAGAGCTGGTGTTGGGAACTCTCCACTTCCTACACAGGCTGTCTCAGGGTCATGTGGTCATCAGGGTTGGACTTGGGGAGTGTCAGACGACCTAGCTGGGAAAGGACTTTCTGTGTGATGAGGTAGGATGTGCTTGTCCCGACTTGTCCAGGGCTGCTTGAGGCTAGGATGAGACTGGGTTCCTTGAGAAGGTGCCGTATTTCCCACCTCCAGTCCCGAAATGAAGGAATACTGCCCAGTCATCTGCAGTTCTGAAATCAGGAGCATCTTCACTGGTCAGATCTAAAAATGACACTAACATTCTATCTTGGTGGAGAAATGGAGCCTTTTAAAAATGGGAAAAAGCTCATTAAAACAAACGGCTGGGCACAGTGGCTCATGCCTGTAATCTCAGCACTTTGGGAGGTCAAGGCAGATGGATCATCTGAGGTTAGGAGTTCAAGACCAGCCTGGCCAACATGGTGAAACCCTGTCTCTACTAAAAATACAAAAATTAACCAGGCATGGTGGCCCGTGCCTGTAGCCCCAGCTGCCACTGCACTCCAGCCTGGGTAAGAGTGAGACTCCAACTCAGAAAAGAAGAAAAAAGAAAACAAACAGATGCTTTTCAGTTTGTTTCTGGCATTCATATTCTGCTCAAATGTGTTTGTTCCATATTGCAGGTAAAAGAGAAATACCTGCATTGTGCCGCAATTGCTTCCTTGAGGCTTGCCGCAAAACTTAATGAAGAAAATGAGGTATGCATCCTTGGAAGTCCACACTGGGCTGCGTTTGAGGTATAGTGGTATAACATTGGAGCACTCTGGTTTCCCGACAGATCTGTGCCCTTAGGTATGGTGGTCACTAACTTGCCAGCATCTCTGCTGTCCCTTCTATCAGCTTGTCAGACTCTGAGAACCCACAAATGGACAATTAGAAGAGCTGAACTGTCCTGGCCCATCAAACCTAGAGACCTGAACTCTTGCCAGATACATCTGGCCTCACTGGTTGAGGGCTAAACAGAGGCATCCGCTGTTGAGCAAGTCCTCTTAAACCGTGTGGCATAACATCAGCCCCCAAGCAACTATGTCTAAAAAAGCTGCTTGAGGCTTGAGGACTTGGCTGTGTCAATGAAGCTGGTCCTTGGAAACTCTGGGAACTCTCTCTGAGATGGACAGGAGGCATGTGCTGGGGGTAAAGTACAAGGCCCCTTGAGCGCTTCAGGCATGCCTGGATGGCTGAATTTCACTGTGACATCTGTTGAGGAGGAGATCATCTCCTAATACCCTTCCCAAACTTTCCTACCTCCCTCCAACTTCTCCCATTTTCGGGATGGTGAAATCACTGCCATTGCCACAGGGTCACCTTTAGCTGATCTCTGGGTCTGAGGAGGCAGGGAAGAAGTTGTGTGTCCAGTTCCAAATCTTCAGTAAAAATGTTTTAAACTCCTGTTTATTAGAAAAGAATTGGTCCCCAAGTTGCTTTCCTCCAACTAAAAATCAAGTGATATAGTAATACTTCTGTCATCTAAAAATGTAGGACCAAGCCTTCAATGTACCTGGTACTTGAATGTTTACTCATAGACAAGTCTTATTAGTCCCTCCGTGAGGAAAACCATAGTTTTTCCAGAACTGAACCACCTTCAATCAAGATTGCAGGAAATGTGTTTAAAGTTTGTGATGCTGAAAAACCCATAGGAGGTTTTATCAATGTGTCTGTCTGGTAAAGACTAGGAAGATCAAAAGCATAGTTTTCTCTCTATACCCAGTACCCATGGTAGGGATCAGGAATAGGGATGGGCAGAACCGATGGCTCCTGGAAAGCTTGGGGTGAGTTTTTGCAGCTGAATAGGAGAGATGGCACAGCTCTAGCCTCCAAAGCACCCTTGGGTATGAGCTAGCATGCAGTTGGCAGATCAAGACCTGGTTTCAGAGGGGGACCATGTAATGTTCACTACATAACTACCTGAGGATTTGACGGATAGCCAAGCTCTGGTTTAGTATTTCTTTCAGAAGCATTTTCTGTGGTGGGTCACAGGAAGACAACACCAAGGTCATGAATGCCCAGTCCCCATGGATAAGAAAACAAAGCTACTATGACGTGATGTAGGGCTTTGGCCTCTTTATTTTCTTTTTACAGGTAATTCCACAAGTAAACGACTTTATAAAGCACTATGGCTCTGACTATTCCCCGAATGAGCTGCTGAGGATGGAGCTGGCTATTCTGGACACATTGCACTGGGACCTCTATATCGGGACACCGCTGGACTTCTTGACTGTAGTGAGTAGGAGGCGTTTAAAGAGTCTACCCTAAACTTGTTTGTGCCTTTGGAACAGCTGTTTATAACATAGGACGGCAAAGCACAGGCGTGCACACGTCCTTGCCCATGCACCACAGTGAGGTGACCCACGAGGCTTGTGACATACGGAAGAGTAAAAAGGTATCTTAAATCCAACACAGTTCCACCAGACTCCCACTTCTAAAGGACATTAAATTAACTTTACAAAGATTTTTAGACGGCACTATTATGGTGAGTTTCTCTTTTAAATACACACTGCAAAAATATTTAACTTTCCATTCTATGAATACATAAATATCTGTCTGCTTTTGCTACACTTTACACACATTCACTTAGCTGTCTTTATTCACCTACACACAATCCTTGTTGAGGCTTTAGACCATATTGATCTGGCACTTAAAAAAATATCATACATTAGTTTGTATTTGTTTTAGTTGGGGCAATGATGGTCATCCTTAAGGATGTGATTCTGTTAGTAAGGCAAAATTATGCAATGTGGAAATGTCATGGGATTTTGGTTTGTTATGAAACATGAAGATTAAATTACTAAGGGCGGTTTCTTTATGAAAACTGGCCACTGTTGCCAAGTTGCAGAGTTTCTTCTTATCATAAGCAGATACCAGTAACTTCATCTTGAATAGTATGTTTCTATTTTTCAGAATGGAAACATTGTCATCTAGGTACTCTCCACTCATAATGGCCATGTCAGAAAGCAGACTTTCTTTTCTCTCTGGAGTCAAAGCTCAGCTTGGCCACAGAATGGGCATTAAGCCTCAAGCCCCTTATGGGCCCATGGATAGGAATGAAAAGGGTTGGGCAACATTTGATGTTCCCTAATGGAAATTTAAATTGTTTGCACTTTGGGTCATTGGTATATGAAACGTATGGGGTTTTCTGTTCTAACATTAAAAACCATGGTCTTCAGTTTCATGCCCTGGTGGTCCTGAGCTGGCCCCATGTGTTGGAGCTGCTGCCTCAGAGGAATCCTTCCCTCCACGTCGCATCCCTGACCAGGCAGCTGCAGCACTGTATGGCAGGCCACCAGCTGCTGCAGTTCAAGGGCTCCACACTGGCCTTGGTCATCATCACCTTAGAGTTGGAGAGGCTCATGCCCGACTGGTGTGCTCCTATATCTGATCTGCTAAAGAAAGCACAGGTAGACATCAACTTTGCCCCAAACCAGGCTCTGTGTTTTGCCCCTTTAGCTGATGCACTCTGAACCCAAAGGGATACCCTTCGCCCTTGTATCCTCTGGAAAATGTACTGGCCATAACCCTGGAAAGAGTCTACCCAAAGGCTAGGCCATGCTCTGTGCACTTGGAATGTGTGTTCCCTTCAGTGGACCAATGAGGGTGGTCTCTGAGAGTGAGAGAAACTGTATCTCAATGGCAGCCCTTGTAGCCAAGAAAACTGTGAGGGAGTTAAGGGGATGTCCAGCTTAAGAGGAAGCAACCCTGAGCTTAATACTGGGGAGCATAAATTCTAAACTCCTTCACACTTCACATTTGTATAAGTATGGTACCAGATTCTGGGGTACCATGAGGCAAGCACTGGGGCTGTCGGGGGGAGGCATGGGGAGAGGAGTGTGTCAGAATCCCTCAGAACAGATAGGTTAGGATGGAATGCATAGATTAGTGACAATTTTACTGAGGTTGAAGATGGATGTCCCTGAGATGGTAGGGTTAGTGGTCCTTAGTTAGGTGGTTGGACCTTCCTGAACTTGCTTCATGCTAACATTTTGGCACTCAATGGCCAATTTCTTAGAATGTACGATGGTTTAGCTTCAAGATGGCCACTCTATTCCAATACAGGTTGGTAATATGCAGTACAGCTGCTGCAAAGAACTTGTAGTGCGGCAGCTGAGAAGTTTTCAGTCATCCACCTGCACAGACAGCTTTGTGCCACTTGCCAACCAACCCCTCTGCCTCCACCCCAGGACCTTCAGAGCATAATGTGAAACCTCCTTGCTTGGACTACTGTGAGTTCTTTGGCTTGTTATGAATCCTGTAAAAAGAAGGGAAGGTGGCCCTGGAAGAGAAACTGAGAAAAAGTTCCCAACTGAGTCCTTAGGAAAAAAAAAAAAAAAAGAAGGGAGGGAAAGGCAGGCTGGGGTCAGTGGAGGTCAGGGTGGTCTGAGAGACCATGACCCTGTCTTCCCTTTTTCTCCTCTGGGCTGAAGCCAGGGAGCATGAATGAATGTTCAAATGGCAGCTTGTTTTTCCTTCCTTCTCCAGCAAGGGTTGGCATTGGCCTCAGAGAGCGCTGGAATGTGAGACCAAGAGGCAGGCCTGGCTCAGGGCTGAAAGGCTGGCGCTGGTTCTGACTGACCAGTTCTTGCTGCTCTACCTGCCAGAGCTGGCCAGATCCTTCCAACTTCCCAGGCCTATCCCAAACACATATGCAGTGCTTCCAGTCCCAACTACCCTGCCTGCCACTCCTTACATGGGACAGTCTCTGCAGACACATTTATCCGGACATGGCCATGACTTATGTCTTCCCTTTACAAGGACTGGATTATAAAGTATGCTTTGTGTAATGCAACTTGAGAAAGCTTTAAGCATATCTTTCCTTTGTTACTCTTAAGCAAAGTGGTTTAAGTTATTAGTTTAACCAGAGGGATTTTGCGCTAATGAATGGGTATTATAGGCTAACACCTGTGATGGGAGGCGTAGCTCTGAGCGCTTTCTGTTGGGATGAGCAGGTTCTGAGGCCGAGCTGGCTCCAACCACAGTGCTGCCAGGAGGAGGAAGTGACTAGCATGGCTGTAAGGAGGAGCCAGCTGCCTCTCTCAAGCTGTGCTACCACAGAGCCATTCTCTAAGCAGGGGAGTGCAGCTGACGAAGATGCCAGCTGGGGTTGTGTAAGTTGTGTTGGGGACATGAATGACTGAGCCACACATTCAGAGGTGGTTTGTGAAATCTTCCACTGTGAATTTTTTTTTTTTTTTTTTGGTAAATGTGCTAAGCCATGGGGTGGGAGGGGAATGATTTACTAGGTGCAAAGTGGTCAAGGGCCAGATGTCCTATAATTGTCTGTATTATAGAGTCAGTATACATCTCTATTTTTTCTTGACACACTTTTGCTTGTTGGAGCTTTTGTTAAAAATAAACTTTAATTGCTTCCAATCCTATAAGAATCTTATTTTGCATATATGAGCTACCATGCATTTAGGCTTGCGAGAGTAAGATACATTTGGAACACTACTTCCTAGGGCATATCAAGAACTCTCCTCTAGTCCATCACCCATTTTACAGATGGAGATGCTGAGGCCATGCTGCTCACAGCCACAGCTTCCAGTGGTAGCCGTGAGTGCTCTCTGCCTCCTTCCTTCCAGTGTGAGTGGGAGCACAGTGCATGAGGCAGGAGACCATCCCGAGGGCCCATACCAGCTTGGGTGTCCTGGGCTTTGGGGAACGCTGGAAGACATCTGGGCTGCTTAACCAGGTGGCTCTAGGTATAAGCTAGATTCCCAGAGCTGATCCAACTCAACCTCTTGGAGAAAGCAGAGGGTAGATCTGTGAGTTCTGGGATCTGTGA